AAGAGAGCAAGAAAAATGAAAAGAAGCAGAGAACTATAAAAAATTTCAGGAAATAATGAAAGAGCAATAACTACATACCTATCAATAATTTATTTAAGCAAATGGGCTAAATGCTCCAATGAAAAGACATAGGGTGGCTAAATGGATACAAAATTATATATATATATATATATGTATATTAGAGGCCCAATGCATGAAATTCGTGCAAGTGGCTTAGCCCTTACAGCTGTGGCAGCTTCCTTGGCAGCCCAGGCTTCATCTGAGGGGTCGTTGAGCCATCCAATCTAATCAGCATATTATGCTTTTAATATTATAGATATACATACACATATATATGTATATACATATCAGACAAAATAGATTTTAAAATGAATGCTATAACAATAGACAAAAAGAGCATTTTATAATATAAAGGGATCAATCTAACAAGAGGATATAACTTTTGTGAATATCTATGCACCTGATTTAGAAGCCCCTATTGTTAAATCTTTACCAAGACTTATCAATGAGAAGGTCCAAATAAATAAAATCAGGAATAAAAAAGAAGTGATAACGGACACCATAGAAATACAAAGAATGATAAAAAAAATAGGATGAAAAAATTGTATGCCAACAAATTGGACAACCTGGAATAAATAGATAAATTTATAGAAATATTCAATCTTCCAAGACTGAATCAGAAAGAACCAAAATCTGAACACACTGGTAAATGCTAACAGTATTAAATCAGTAGTCAAAAAACTCCCAACAAACAAAGGTCCTGTACTAGATGAATTCACAGGACAATTTCCCAAACATTCAAATAATTAACACCTATTCTTCTCAAACTATTTCAAAAAACTGAAAAGTTGAAAAAGCTCCTAGACTCACTTTTCAAGGCCAGGAATATCTTGATACCAAAGCCAGATAAAGAAAATAAGACACTACAAAAGAAGAAGAAGGAGGAGGAGGAAGAGGAGGAAGAGGAGGAGGAGGAGGAGGAGGAGGAGGAGGAGGAGGAGGAGGAGGAGGAGAAGGAGGAGGAGAAGAAGAAAAGAGAAAAGAAGAAAATGAGCCAATATCTCTGAAGAACACAGATGCAAAAAATTATCAACAAAATATTAGCAAACCCAATTAAACAGTACATTAAAAAATACCCCATGATGAAGTGGAATTTATTCCTGGAGTGCAAAATTGGTTTAATATCTATTTGTCAATTAATATGCTATACCACATAAACAAAATGAAGAATAAAAATTATCTGATCTTATCAATAGATGCAGAAAAGCTTTTCACAAAATTCAACATCTGTTTATGATAAAAATGCTAAGTAAAGTAGGATTAGGGAGTATACCTTAACATAATAAAGTCCATATGTGACAAACTCACAGCAAACATTTTACTCAATGGTAAAAAGCTAAAAGCTTTTTCTTTAAAATCAGGAACAAGAAAGGATAAAGATGCCCACTTTCATCACTTTTATTCAACATAATATTGGAAGTTCCAGCCACAGCAATCAGACAAGAAAAATAAATAAAAGTCACCCACATTGGAAAGGAAATCATATAATTACTTGCATTTAACATGGTATTATATTTACAGAACCCTAAAGATTGAGGGAAGGAGAAGGGTAAGGGGATAAGAAATCAACCAAAGGACTTCTATGCATAGAGATGAGCATAACCAATGGGCATAGTTGGAGGTGGGGGGAAGGTGAGGGCATGTGCTGGGGGTTGGGGCCAGGAGGGGAGAGGACAATGGGGGAAAAAGGAGACTTATGTAACACTTTAAACAATAAACAATAAACAATTTAAATTTAAAAAGCAAAAGATTCCTCACAAAAAAACACTAAACTTATAAATGAATTCAATAAAGTAGTAGGATACAAAATCAATATTCAAAAATCAGTTACATTTGATACACCAATAATGAGCTTTCAGGAAATTTAGAAAACAATCCCATTTACAATTGAATAAAAAAAGAATAAAACATATAAGACTAAATATAACTAAGTAAAAGACCTATACTCAGAATATAAGACATTGAGGAAATTGAAGAAAATGTAAATAAATGGAAGCATATGCCATGCTCAGGAGTATACAAAATTGGCATAATCAAAACGTCCATATTACCCAAAAGCAAATCTATAGATTCAATGTAATTCCTATCAAAATACCAGTAAGATTTTTCACTGAACTAAAGCAAAATAAAAACAATCACAAAATTTATATGGGATCACAAAAGACTGAATACCCAATGAGATCTGGGGAAAAAATAACCAAGTTGGAAGGATCATACCAGTTAATATCTAGCTGTACTACAAAGCAATAGTAATCAAAAGAACATTTTACTGGCATAAACACAGACAGACCACTGGAGCAGAATGAAGAGCCTAGAAATAAACCCACACCTAACAAGATTAACAAGACAGAGATCTTCTGATCAAGTAAAAGAAGAAAGCCAGGGTATCTCCAGAAGCATATGGAGAAGTTAAGAAACCAGAATATACTAAGCATGACTTGATACTGGATATAGAAGCTGGTTTGCATTTCTAAGAGCTCTCTTTACCCCCAACAGACCTTTACCTCACCACTACCTTACTACACTAGTCCAAGTTCAGGGATGCTTCTTTAGAATTAATCCCCAGATCTGAAAATTCCAGCTGTAGTAGTCACATGGTAATAATAGCAGAGGGGAGAAGATAGAAGCAGAAAACTGCAAGGAAATATTTATTCGATATTCAATTATCTAGTAATTAGGTATGCAAAAGCAAGGCATGATAATGTAAGTCTCAGTCATTGTCTAATCTATTTTTTATTTCTTATGTTAAAAAATAAGCTCAGCCGAGGCCGGTTTGGCTCAGTGGTAGAGCGTTGGTCTGAGGATTGAAGGGTCCCGGGTTCAATTCCGGTCAAGGGCATGTGCGTTGGTTGCAGGCACATCCCCAGAGGTGGGTGTGCAAGAGGCAGCTGGTCGATGTTTCTCTCTCATCGACGTTTCTAGCTCTCTATCTCTCTCCCTTCCTCTCTGTAAAAAATCAATAAAAATATATTTTAAAAAATGAGCTCATCTGATAAGCATGTGGTATATGAATCAGTAGACAGGCTTTTGGTTAAATGATATTGCCTCTTGACAGATAAAAAAAAAATCACAATATTTAAAATTCTTCATTCCTCAGTGTATCAGTGGCCTAAAGTACAGGAGTGTTCATAAACTATCTTTAAAAGGAGAATATAATATGTTGTCTGCTGTCAGTGAAAAAGGACTTATCTTAAATCAAGAGCTGAAATAGTGCCTTATCTAGGATACATTTCTTTCTTTAAAGGAGGTGAACTTTTAAGCCAAACTTCTCACCTACTAAGTTTGAATTTACACAGGACAGTAAAATCAGGATACTGACAATCTGTGGAGATTATAGTCATTTGGCTAAATTTAAATAGATTGTTATTCACACAAGATAATGCCTATTTATTTACAAAAATATATATATTTTTTGCTTTAAATGTATCTTTTTTGTAGCATTGCATTTGGGGGATTAATTCCATTTTTATAGAAACTGAGTGCTGTCTAAATAAATGAACAGAACTTTTGATGGACCATCTTGAATGGATTATATAACTTTTGAGATCGCTGTTTTTCAAATGTCTGAAGTTAATATTCCTCCTAGACATAAATTACAAAATAAAACCAGCTATTCCTAGTTTGCTTTGCTCCTGAATGTGTCTCTGTTCTATATGCTGTAAATCAAATTTGATCTATATTAAAAACAATTTGATGTTTTGAAACTGATATCTTTATTGATGGCAATATCTAAGCGCAAATTTGTAATATTCAGCAACCTAGAATCTCATCCAATTGTTACAAAGTGCTCAATCATCTCAATAACTGTCAGGTCTGAGCAATTGGCAAGATTGAACCCACACTTTAAAATAACATAAAAGATGTTGACTGAACAGACTCATCCATTTTTATATCCTAAATAGTTTAATATTATCACATTGCTATGGCATAAACTATTATTTTCAGAACTAGGAGGATCCAATTTTAGAATTTTTAAGTCCAGTGGAGTCACTGGCTCTTACCAAAACCAATATAGTCTATTTCCTCTTTCCTAAAAGAAGTCAGTCCAAACTCCAGTGGCATATCAAATAAAACTACAACAGCCACTTCTATTATGTTTCAGGTTGCTTGAGTAGGTTGATGCACCAGTGAAATATATATTTCAGGAGCTTAGAAGAGAGAAAAGGACAAAAGTACTAATTAAATTTAAATCCGTATATTTCTGGAATGATGACTACACAGGAGAATACGGTAATCCTAAATGTCAACCTCATTTTCACTGAACTTTAAAAATTTTTTAATAATGCTGTAATTTTTCACCTTCATATAAGGCTCAAGGTCCATTTTTAACAAAGGTCTCGAAAGAGCCTACATGCAAACTCAGGTATCATGTTTTTATGTTTAAAAAGTGCAATGTGAGCAGCCAGGTATGGGTCCCAGGTCTCATTTACATACCCTTGCTGCAGGAATGGCACTGCAGAGAAACTCCCATAAATCATCTCCTGGCTGTACACAATTAATTTTACTTTCTGTACCTGCCCGCCTCTATGTTTTTATGCTGTTTCTTTTTACATTTAATTGTTGAGGTCGCCCATGGTTTGAGGTGAAATACCCAAGCTTAATATTAAAATATTGCTGGATAATATTATAGTATAAGTTTTAATAACCCAATTCAAAGTCACCTTTTCCCACAAGTTTTAAGATTAACTGTCAAAAAAGTATCCAAAGAAAAATAACCTGTAACATCCTAACCCTTTTATATATGAGAGGATATTAAGTGGGTTTCCTGCATAATTTCGTGAAGGGTAAAACATTTCTACCATCCTAAGTGTATTTTTCCAGAAATATTTTATCTTATTTATTGTTACTTGGAAGTGATTTCAGACTTCATGAGAGTTTCTTAACTACTTAGCTTAGTTTCAAGAAAACAAAGGGAAAACCCCTCTTTTAATGATTTTCAGAATAGCTATTCTTCCAGACGGGAATCTGCGGATCCTAAATGCTTCTAAATCAGATGAGGGAAAGTACGTTTGCCGAGGGGAAAATGTATTTGGTTCTGCTGAAATCATAGCTGAAGTATCTGTCAAAGGTAAGAAAATGTGGCTAAATATTTCCTAAGCCTAATTTCATGGGCCTTATCAGAAAGTGAATAGATATAATATGCATGTGTATATGTATGTGTGCGTGCTCCTGTTTATAAACTACATCGTAAAAATAGAACTAACACAGCCACATGGTCCCTTTCCATTATTTAGGGCACTGTAAAGAAATGGAATTCTTGTTGGTAGAAATTTAAATCTGTTCCTTTGAACACAATATGTAAGAGGATGAAGACAGCGTTGGGAAGTTTTAGTTGGTATCTCAAAATTTAAAAGTATGCTAACAGCATAAAATATTTTTTGTCTACCAAGATTAATTTTATCAATAAACAATAATATTCTCTTATTACCACTTGGACAGAGGATTTGGGGTAGAAAGTCAGAAAGAGGACATGGGTGTGGCATGTGGGAGTGAGTTCAGAGAAACTGACATACCAGAGCTGCCTTTTGACCTTTGCATCAATGGAATTTTTTACATAATGCTATTTTTTAACATTGCAAATATTGCCACTTAAATGTTTACTTCTAAAGTGAACTGGATGTCAACCCTAGAACCTTCGAGACTACATGTCACTGCTTCATACTAAGAAAATCTTATATTTTAGGTAGTGTCTTTGTTAGCAGATGAATATTTTTCAGAGGTGAACTCTCTACTTAATTGATTTTTCCATTTGTGCATGTATTTTATAATGAGTCATATTAGGGCCAAAAAAGGTAAAATTGTTAATTTGTCTCTTTCTTTAGAAATAGAAAAATGAAATAGACAGCACTCTGAGATTTTTAGGGAAGGAGCAAACATCACTAGAAGGAACACAATTTAAATGTCTTCATTTATTATAGACACTACAGGAATCAAACTCTGCTTCTACTTCCAGTCTTTTTCTTAATCCTTCTCTGTGCTAAACAATGAGGCAGTACTGGATCCAAGGACTTTCATTTATAGCAACAAAAGTGTTCTTGCACTTTCCAAAAAATATATAAAAATAGTTGTTAAATGGAATATTTACTTACTGGGAATATTCTAATTCTTAAAAAGTTTAAACCACAGTATGATGTGATTGTCCTCTCTGATGAAGCCAGAGAACAGATTGCCACATGAGATATCTGACTTCTAAAATATCAGCATTCATAATGGCATTCCTTTCCTGGCATCGCACCCACTTTCCTCTCGGTGCTATTCATAAGGACGTTGCACATTAAATGATCTTAACCATCCCTGATTAAGCATGATGCTTCATCAGATTGTGCTACTGTCAACAATAGAGCTGGAATAGGAAAATTGAGCTAATTGTTAATCATTTGTGTCAGTCTTCTTCAGGTATCTACAATCAGAATTCCAGGAAATAAAGACAACATCAAAATCCTATCTCCATCACTTCCCTACTTTATTCAAAATAGCAAGTTATATTGCAGTTATTTGATCACTTTCTTTTTGAAAGAATTTCTTCTTTTTCAATAACAGTCAACCACAATATTATATTAGTTTTACATGTACAACAGTCATTAAACATTTATATCTTACAAAGCTGCTCACTATCTTAAGTAATCCTTGGATGGACAGCTCATATTAGCCTTTATTGGTTCACAATTGCCTTAAACCCTATTTTTTTTTAATTTAACTGTATCTCACTTAGCATAATACTCTTTATGTTCATTAATAAGCCAGTCAGAAAAAGACAAGTACCATATGATTTCACTTATATGTGGAATCTAATGAACAAAGTAAACTAACAAGCAGAGTGTAGACATACTCATGGAAACAGAATACAGATTGACAGCTGTCAGAGGGGAGGGGGTTAAGGGCCGGGTGAGAAGGGTAAAGGGATCAAGTAAAGAAAAAAATAAAGATTCAGAAGGATCTGTATCTGGAACAACTTTATTGCATAGATTTCTTGTTAAGTTTTTCTCTATTATTTTAAACTAGAGGCCTGGTGCATGAATTTGTGAATGGGTGGGGTCCCTCGGCCAGGCTGGTGATTTGGGCTGATGGGAGAAAGGGACAGCCAGCAAGGGAGAGGGTGGGGGGGAATACGGGGCAAAGAGCATGACTATGGGAGGTTGGCTATGGGAGCACACTGACCACCAGGGGGCAGCTTCTGAGTTAAGTGTCTGCCCCCTGGTGGTCAGTGTGAGTCACAGCAACTGGTTGACCAGTCCTTCATTCCTTCAGTCATTCAGTTGTTTAGGCTTTTATATATATATAAATAAAGAATGCAGGGAAATACTATGTGTTATATTAATTAATATATTTTTATTTCTATAGAACCTACAAAAATTGAACTTACTCCTAAAAGAACAGAGTTAACAGTGGGAGAAAGCATTGTTCTTAACTGTAAAGCAATTCATGATGCTAGTTTGGATGTCATTTTCTACTGGACATTGAAAGGACAACCTATCGATTTCGAGAAAGAAGGTGGACATTTTGAAAGCATCAGGGCCGTAAGTTAATACACTTTTATTTTTTGAGTAATAACAACTTTAGATATTTAAGTTCAAATGTAAAAATTTTCTTATCCATGTAATGCTAAGAAAACAGTAGGACAAAATTAATTTGATTCAAACACATTTTTTATTATTTTATATTAGGCCAAACTGAAAATAATAATAATTTTTAAAACCCCAGAAATAAATTGGTAACTCTATATTATGCAAGTCTGGTTTATTTTCCAAGTTTATTTACTCGATTAATATTGTCAACATTTCCACATTACTTCTCAAAATTATGTTGCTACATAAAGTGACTAGTGATATTAAAAGCATTCTTATGAATAGTTATGATACAATAAATTAATAAAATGACCTGGCTGTCCCACTCCTTGAAAAATGGTAATTTGGGGAGATTTTTAAGTTTCTCACAGGCTATAGAGCTAAACATAGTCAGAAAGGCACATTGGCCTTAGATAAACATTCACAAGCATACTCATTTCTTCCTTGCCAAGTATTTCCTTTGTAATATCTTCTTTAACTTTATGTATCTACATAGCAATCCACTAAATGGAGTGGGAAATCTTTTTAACCAAATACTATTGAATCATCACAGTGTCTTTAGCCAATAGAGAAGTAAAAAAAAACACCTCTTCCTCCCACTCTTATTTAAGACGTAGAGTAATTTGACAGAGGGAAGAAGATGGATGGAATTAGGGAGGCAGAGAAAGATTGTGGCTGCTATATCCCATCTTTATTTGCTAAAGGGATGGATCCAAATGCAATTTATACTTAAAAATCCAATTTGGCATGTTGTCACATGCTTATTGACATCAGCTTATTTTTCTATGAATACTTTGGGAAGCCCTGGGAAAACCACAGCTATAATGAGCCCAAACAGATAAAACTCAGTTTGGATTGCTTTTTATTATAAATGTAATGTAATACAATGAAAAGTCCTGTATCCAAAGTCAGGAATTTTCTGGCTCAATTTCCAGTTTAATCTCTAATCAGCTGTTTAACCAAAAGCCAGTCAGTAACTTGGCCTATTTGGGCATTAATCTCATAAAGTGAAACAGTTGGACCAGATAATTTCTATGATTTTTTTCTCACTCTAGAATTTTGATAAATTTATATTGTAATGATGAAATATGAATTCTCTTTGTTACATTTGCCAGTGTAACCAAAATTAAACATTTTCTTCCAAATTATCCCTTTTATCCTGGTTTACTTTGCAATAAATGGGTAAGACTAGTATATAAATCAGAAGCCATTACCAACATCATTATTCATATCTCATTAAATAAATTATTTTTAATTGTTAAGTTAAATACAAAATATTTAGATCATATTAAATTAAACTCATTTTCCTCTAATTCATGTTTCCTTTTTTTTACCTTGAGTTGATAATTTTTTTAAGATTGTAAATAAATTTAGGCTACCATTGTCACAAAAAGAATGAGAAAAAAAAATGTGATTCAAAAATATTACATTTGAAAAGATAATTATTACCCTCAAAGATATAGCTTCTCAGGATTATCTGTAAACCTTCATTTTAAGTGATCAGATACATAATATAAAAAATATATCTAAAATGAATGTTGATTTTTCTTTATATAAGTGGGTCCTCACTTTATTTTAAAATACCAATAGAGAAATCAATGGTCCTTATCAAATTATATGAATTCTTGTTTTTGTCTATTAGACATTACCACTTTGGTTTAATGTCATTTATTTGTATAGATGAATACCTTGTAATCCCTTCCATAAAGTTGGCAGTTAATAGTACCTGTTGTATTCCTTTTTACATATATGCTGTTCTTGCCCTTGAGAAACACAAAATTTACTTTTTACTCCCTGCTAACCCATACTGTTACAACCCATGTTAAAATTAGGCTCTGAATTATGGATAGTGATAGTAAACTACAGAATGAAAATTAAATCAAATTATCGTATTGAGATGTGAGAAAATATTTTGGTAATGTAGGACTTACCATTTTCAGTGTATTTAAAATAATTAGTAGAAATATCTATGTGCTATAAAAATGGGAAACTTCAAAAACATAAGGTGTAAAAGAAATTGCCTATCACTCTTTTCCCAGTTTCCTCAAATACTGATGGGATTCTGGATGGCTCCATGTGTTTTAGGAGAAGAAATGAAAATTCTGTATAGAAGGGAAATTTGGGAAGGCCTCTGGACTTGTGGATACCTTCTGTTTGAAAAGCCAATTGAAGACTCTAGGAATAAGAGGGGCAGGACAGGGTACAGAGGAGAAGCAAATGGGGTGATCTGTGAGTTTCAAAGGAGAACCATTGATGAATTGATGAGACCTTAGTGGGGCTCCAGACTGGCCCAGCAGAGTAAGAAAGTCAAACAGAATTCAGGGACTTACGCAGGGAGTGTAGTGTGCCTCTGAGCCTTCTCTAGATTAACTGCCTTGAGACATGACCTACCAGTGGGTGATTGATGTGGGTTATTCCAAAGAGAAAGGAGGGTATACCTTTTAAACACATTGACACTACAGGGTGGCAAATGCATCAACCAAATATCTACCTCCCCCAAAAAGATACCAATGCTGTTCATAAAGCATTTTCTGCCATAAAGCAATGCTGTTAATCCTGCATTATTTCAGAGGTTTTCATATAATTAAATGCTGCAGAAAATTCTGTTAAAACTTTTTACTATAAAATAGTTTATTTCTTTGCTTTTTACACAAAATTGGATGCTCAGTTGAGCACACTTTGAAACTGCCTTAGATGACATCTGAGATTGTTATTGCCAGACCCTTCCTTAATTTCTGGGGCTGTCATCTGAGTGATCTGTGGACTACAATGACTCAGGATCACAGCTGGATAGAAACACCATGATGATTAGACACTTCCCTTTTTACCCTAATTGGCAGATGATCTCAAAAAGCAAAATTTGAAGACTCCGCTTCTCTTTTTGTCAATGCAGCAAAATCAAGTAATGCCTCTGAAGCTATCCTATATAATAGTAATATGCAAATTGTCCCCTTGACCAAGAGTTTGACCAGGAGTTTGACTGGGAATTTGACCATGGGCAGAGTAGCTGGCCAACTCACCCTGGCCAGCTCTGCCCTTCCACCCAGATCAGGGATGGGATAGGCCAACCTCCTGCATCCACTCCTCCCCCAGCTGGCCTAGCCTGATCAGGACCAATCAGGGTGGGCCAGCCAGACCCCACTTGTGCACAAATTCATGCACCAGTCCTCTAGTCACATATAAAAAGATAGGCTTAGCCATCCAAGTCACACAGGCCTCACTTTATTTAAATATCATCCACTAGCCCAAACCGGTTTGGCTCAGTGGATAGAGCGTCGGCTTGGGGACTGAAAGGTCCCGGGTTCAATTCTGGTCAAGGGCATGTACCTTGGTTGTGGGCACATCCCCAGTGGGGGGTGTGCAAGAGGCAGCTGATCGATGTTTCTAGCTTTCTATCCCTCTCTCTTACAACTCAATAAAATATATTTAAAAATAAATAAATAAATAAATAAATAAATAAATAAATAAATAAATAAAAACCATCCACTAAAACAAACCTTCTGGTTATGGTACTTAATATGGTAGGGATACCAAGTTTTTTTTAATTTATTTAGAAGCTCCGCTTTTGATAGATATTTTATCTTTATAATATACTTACATATCATTATGAGTAATATGAAAGTTAATAGTTTCTATGAAATGTTTTTAAGCTTGATCATGAAGTCAATCAGATTTACTTCAGTGATATTTATTAAACCAGATTCTCCCCTAATGCAGTCATTTTCAATAGTGACTTATTTTCTTGGACTTGTTATTCCTTCTAATATGTATAGTGAATTTCTAATAAATATTTTCATGTAAAATAACACTCCAAGTATCTTGAGTTTCAGTTCAGAATTTCCATTAAACTTGTTCAATATTATTCTGACATTTTACCAGCTATCTAGCAAGTGTACATTGAGGAATATTGACTCCAGAATTACTTCCTTGTTCCAATCTGACAGACTTACTTAAGACCACACATTTTTATAAATTATGTATGTACCACACCATTTAGAATAAGTAAATAAATGCATAATGTCAAGCCCACTTTTTAAATGATAACATTGTAGCCTTCTACTTTTATCAAATGTTCAAGTGAATTTATTAAAATGAGTATCTAAATTATTTTCATAGCTTAAAAAATACTCATCTTTTCTCAATATTGCAATTTTATCCACAGTGTTTGCTTTGTTTATTTCTTAAGAAGCCTCTATTCAAATCTTGATATTTTTCTTAAAATATTTCTATCTCCCTCTTATATTCTTATACTCTTTTATTATTCATATTGATTTGTGGATCCATTCAAATGAATTAAATTAGGAAGAATAATGGTTATGTCAGTTTTAACTGGGGACGCCATTGGCCACTGTAGCAGATTCCACTGTGTATCACCCAAAATCCCCTTTTAAAACTAAGGCCCTTCCCCCATCCAAACCACTAAAACAGGTCTCAGCAGAGTCCCTTTCTCAGTTCTCAGCCAATGAGAGTTGTCTCTCAATATCTTTTATCAAACATAGAGCATATATAGAACTTTTTAGGAAGGTGACATTTTAAATTTCCTACTTTCTCAATAAGTTTAATGTAAAATTATCTCATCTTATGAACATCTTAGATAAATATCCTTTTCCATTGTAGAATTTGTAGGTTATTTTCATTGCTAGAAATATTTTCATATATTCATCAAAATCACTTGCACCTATAAAGTTTATACTATGATTATATGGTTACATTTACATTATATAACTTCTTTTCTACTAATACTTATAAATGACTATTATGAACAAATATATCCTTTGCCAAAAATATGTTTCTGTTATATGTATTTTTAAAATCAACTCTACACAAATCAGACTCTTCAACACTTAGTCAACTCAGAATAAATTTGAAAGTTTCATTATTCAATTAAGACCTAGGCTAAAATAATGTTAATAGAACTTTACATCATGAAGAGAACTTTTGCCCTTTGTCTC